AGCAAAACGAATAAGAAAGTTTGGAGGCACGGCATACACCTTGATGTAAAATTAAATAACACAAGGTTTAAAGTTTAAACACAGTAAAAATCAGCAAACACTGTGGAACCAAATAAATAAGAAACAAATGTAAAAAAAAAAGGCAAAAGTCAACACGCTTTACAGTATATACACCGTGTAGATCAGGCCTCTGTAGTGGTACATTTATAGCTGTGTTCAATGTTAGGATGTGTGTGGCTCACATGAGGATCACAGCATCTGAAAGATTGATCCTTTGGTCTAATGCCATGTTTGTGATCTGCAGGGACATGCATCAGATCCTGGACACGTACAAGAAGCAGAAGTCCTTCTATCTGTACACGGGTCGAGGGCCGTCCTCAGAGGCCATGCATGTGGGTCACCTGATCCCCTTCATCTTCACCAAGTGAGTCTTCCTCAGTGCGCCAGCGTTCAGCGGGAGTATGTGAAAGCGCTGATGTGTGTGTGTGTCTCTGTGTGTGTGTGTCTCTGTGTGAGTGTGTGTGTGTGTGTGTCTCTGTGTGTCTCTGTGTGTGTGTGTGTGTGTCTCTGTGTGAGTGTGTGTATATATATGTGTGTGAGTGTGTGTCTGTGTCACAGGTGGCTTCAGGACGTGTGTGTGTGTGTCACAGGTGGCTTCAGGACGTGTTCGACGTTCCTCTGGTCATTCAGATGACTGATGATGAGAAGTATCTGTGGAAGGATCTGTCGCTGGACGAGTGTCACCGGTACACGGTGGAGAACGCCAGAGACATCATCGCCTGTGGATTCGACGTCAACAAGACCTTCATCTTCTCTGATCTCTGATCTCGACTATATATGTGTAAACACATATATAAATAAAAAAATATGTAAATATATCTACATATATATATCCAAATGTATCCTCATACATACAGTTCAATCACATATAGCGATATATATACTATATAGCAAACCACAACTGCTTGATTGTTTATATCGCAAAATGTAACACTATTATCGTCCAGCTCGAATCTGATACGTGACTGTAATGCATGAAGATATTAAGGTATTATAAACATAACATCATGATCTCCTGTATAGCTGCATTATGAAAAGCACTATATAAATTTGACTCGATTCTGAAATAAATAACCATCCAGATGTTTTTTTCCGTCAGGGCGAGTCCTTCGTTTTACAGGAACGTGGTGAAGGTCCAGAAGCACGTGACGTTTAACCAGGTCAAAGGCATCTTTGGCTTCACAGACAGCGACTGCATCGGTGAGGAGCGTCTCTGTGTGGCGGGAATCCCGCGAGTGTTTGTTGTGCGTCGTGTTTAATCTCGTGTTTCTGCAGGTAAAGTCAGCTTCCCGGCCATTCAAGCGGCTCCGTCCTTCAGCAGCTCGTTCCCGCAGATCTTCGGCGAGCGGACGGATGTTCAGTGTCTGATCCCGTGTGCCATCGATCAGGTGAGACGCTCGACTCGTGCGACTGGACGCGCGTGTGTCATGTGATCATGTGACCGTGTGCTCCTCAGGACCCGTACTTCCGGATGACGCGGGACGTGGCTCCTCGGATCGGGTATCTGAAGCCGGCTCTGCTTCACTCCACCTTCTTCCCGGCGCTGCAGGGAGCTCAGACCAAGATGAGCGCCAGCGACGCCAACTCCTCCATCTTCCTGACCGACTCCGCCAAACAGATCAAGAACAAGGTGCGCCTCCTTTTGACCCATTTCTCGCAGAAGGTGAGCTGGTGTTCATCATGAATGAGCGTGAGAGCTCTTCCTGTTCCAGGTCAACAAACACGCCTTCTCCGGCGGGAAGGACACGGTTGAGGAGCACAGGAAGTGCGGCGGGAATCCAGACGTGGACGTTTCCTTCATGTACCTGAGCTTCTTCCTGGAAGACGATGATCAGCTGGAGAAGATCAGACAGGTGACATCACGTGATCCAGCTGATGACGTCACTTATTATCCTCAACTAACACTGAAAATATTACTGTATTGTTATTGTGTGAAACCATATTTTCAGTGTTTGTTTTTATGCTTCTGTTTTATCTTGTGAAGCACTTCATATATGCAGTGATAGACAGTAACGGAGTAGCTTTACTTCGTTACTGTACTTAAGTGCATTTTTCAAGTATCTGTACTTTACTGGAGTAGTTTTATTTTGAGTAACTTTTACTTTACTACATTCCAAAGCATAAGATCGTACTTTTTACTTCACTACATTTCATAAAACATATCGTTACTCCTTATAATATATCAC